AATACCCCGCACAACAGTACTTTTCCGTCATAACGCGAAACGCGTAATGTGTGTTGGATGTAATACACATAACGTTCCGCAATTGAACGATGTTTCACGCGTGAAAGCTTACTACCTTGGAGATGAACGAGCACGAGCACTAGCACGAGAAAGAGAGAGAGAGAGAGAGAGAGAGAGCTCGTAGTAATTTCGGACGCGTGAAACCCGTCATTTCTCTCGTCATCCTTCATTAATCCGTAAGCCTCGCGGATACGAGTTGCATATTGCATTGAGGTAACACCCATTGGTGGTGTATGGCTATAGATTAATCCCTCTTGAAAGTGGAAGACCCTGCATGTGTATACACATGTATGTGAGTATGTGTATGTTTGTATGTGAGGTAGAGATACGAGATGAAAGAGGAACCGAGGACAATGTCACGCGCAGAATTTCGACGGATGACGAACCGCTTTGGTTCCCCATCCACAACACCTACTCTAAAATATATATATATATATATATATATATATAGGATGATCCTTCCCATTGATCATGGACGGCGTTCACTTAGGAGAGTTCGAATCATCGTCTTTGCACGGGTGCAGCCATTGTATTGTATGTCGTCGTCCTTGCATACGAACTCGTGCTACTCATCTCTCTGTCTCTGTCTCTGTCTCTCTCTCTCTCTCTCTCTCTCTCTCTCTCTCTCTCTCTCTCTCTTCCCCTTTAATGGGTTACGCTCGAACCCGAGATACTCCGGCTGCATGACAAATGCGCTAATCGGCCTTCGATGCGAAACGTGTAGAATCGTTGTGCCTGTTCCGAAACCGTGAGTGATTAGTTTAATCCCGCGTGCCCGTACTCTGCCGCCGTATCTCGTTAAATATCGAACGATAAAAGATATTATATATTCTAACCGTGCGATCCACCTCCTCCTCCTCTCCACCAACCCCCTTTCGACAGCGCGTTCGTCAACGCGTTCGTCCAAACCCGACACGTTGCACTTTCCATTCTTCGTGAGAATACGTTCAATGAAAGAGATACAGATACCCTTTACTTTCTTGTACAATTTTTCTTTTCTTTTCTTTTCTTTCGTCCTTTTCTTTTCTTTTTCTTTTCCTTTCTTTTCTTTTCTTTTTTATTACAACCACGAATTTATCCAATACAACCAATTGAAATTGAAATTCTCCGAGATTGCACGAGGAAGTAATCGATTTCAATAATATCTCTCGTATTTTGATATTCCGACATATACCAAAAGTTATGGTCGATTCCTCCGCATCGTTTCGTCGTTAAATCGATGACGAACCGATAAGATTATTTCGTATGGTACAGTAACGTCGAGGATCGTAAAATCGCTAACCGATACTAGAGCTAGAACGGTTTCATCTCTTTCTCTCTCTCTCTCTCTCTCTCTTTTATTTTTCTTTACATGCAGTTATCTTTTTTATTTTTCGTTCATTATTTTGACAAATAAAATAATAAATGAGCTACAATAGATATGGGTAATATTAAATCCATTAAAAATTATCTTACCTAGGTATACGAGTATACGTGTACGTATGTATAATACATACCTAGGTTGATTTAAGCTTGCTCGGTTAGTGAATAAACTCGACGAATATTTCCCTTAAGTATCGTCCTCCCTAATTTACTTGAAACAACGCACAATGTATGCATGTATGTATATACGTATGTATGTATGTAACTTTTTTATCGTTCGTAGAAATACAGGAAGGATGTTACTACCGTAAAAGAAGGTCAAAAATTACCGCAGAGAAAAGAAAGATGGTAACGGTCGTGAATTTTTCAATGGGAATTTTCCGTTGCGAAATGAGAATAAATATAATATACGTATACATGGATATATACTTGTAAGTATATATTATATATGCATATAAGTGAAAAGTGACGGATAGATGCAGTGTTTCGATACGAAAATGCAGAAAATGTTATTATATATGACAATAAGTGTATCCGACGTATCTTCATTCTTATTTCTCGTTACATTTTCCGAAGAAAATTGAACGATCTAACGTAATGTAGGATGGATGCTAGTAGCACGAAGTCGCCTACCCGTTACGATCCGCGAGTGATAAATATTCCCTTTCCGAAAAGATAGAAATCTCATTATTCGAAAGACGGACGATCGACGGTTCTTCTACCTACGGAGTAGCGCACTACGTCACACTGCTATCGTTATTATCGAGAGCCGTTCGAATACGATCGAAGAAATCCTACGTATATGTACGTGTATACTGACCTATTCCGAACACACACACAACACACAACTCGCTCATCCTTTCTACACACACGTACACACACTTAGATATTTCCTTTCTTCCTTTTGTTTTTCGTGCCATCTTTTCCCACCATCACCACCACCACCACCATCAGAACCATCGCCACCATCTCCCACGCGTTCTGTCCTCCATTCGCTTCTTCCATCAATCATCCGAGTTTTGCGCGAGATTCACCCATTATTCGATTCCCCTCTCCCACCGTCGACCTCTTCTTCTTCTTCTTCTTCTTCTCCGTTTCACCAATCGTAACCTACTACTACTATCACCTTCCCCCTTCAACCCTTCCTGCATCATCTTCTCGACGATCCTTCTTCTCGGCTCGGCTCGACTCGACTCGACTCGGCTCTTGTGAGATTCGAGTTCTATTATTCCAACGAGATCAATTCTTGTCCAAGAAAAACGACGTCGATACGGTTTACCGTCGGCCATATTACCCCGTTACACGTATACTTGCATACAATCAAATAGGAAAATATCATTTGTTATTTTACCATCATCGAGCATTTTAATTGATCTCGTTTCCATAAATTCTCTAATGGTTTTATTTTCCTTTACCTATATCCCTTTCGTTACAGAAATCCTAGCATGTGCTGCCATTAGTTTTTTTTTTGTTCCTTTTTTTTTTCTCTGTACAAACACGCGTTCATTACATTTCGTTACGTTCGATTCCGATCGAAAGCACAGGAATAATAACGTTAGTTTTCTTCTACCAAAAAAGTATAAAGTTTAAATACAAGTTTTGTTATATCGTTTAAAATAAAGGAACTCTCGTTATTGGTGATACCGAAAACGTAATGATTATTCGAAATAACTTGACTGTAATCGGTTTCCTACGGGTGAAACGTTGTTTTCCAGAGAGTGAATTAGAGAATCGTATTTATTTTAATGAGGTTTCACTTCTTTGATTCGTTTCTTTCTCATCTTCTTCTTCTTCTTCTTCTTCTTCTTTTACGGTCCGGATGAGGTGGTCTCTCGCGACGACGATGGTAGTGGTGGTGGTGAAAACAGATTAAAGGATTTTAAACTCTTTTTCCATTTATGACGGTCAACATTCTTTTATGACGAATCCATTAGGGTTGTGTCCGTGATAACGGGAATTGAATTTTTCCTCTAGCCCACGGGTGGTTACATTATTATCAACTCGACCCGTTTGTAAATTGAAATGAACTTTTCTAAAGCGAAATCGGGTGCTCTGGCCATTTAATTATTATGCATTAAGGGTGTACCGCCACCCCCGTCGATCGGTGGCTCCGCAACGGTATGGCACAGTACCGTACCGTACCGTACCGTCGGCGGTCCTTGAAGAAGCATCCGGAATTGTTTTTTTTTCGATGCTTCCCTCGTTCCTCGTATATAGTTGCTGCGCACCGTAGAAAATGAATTTACGCGACGTTGAAAGAAGATTCCCTCTCTAGGGGAAACTTATTCTAAAGGAGGTGAAAAGTCCTACTCGCTTTTTTTTCCTTTTTTTCTTCTTCTTCTTCTTCTTCTACTGAACGTTCATATAAAAGATCGCATTGGTTCCGCGTCAGAGACACGTGGCTACTTCAATCTATATTAATTTACATCCTAGGACACGGGATTGCTACAAAAATTAGACAGAGTCTCGATGGATTTCTAAATCACGTGGTCACAAATGAGAGAAATAGAACATGGTTGCAACTTCAATGGGATCATAAATATGTCTTGAAAATCGAAAGAAAAAGGGAAAGAAAGAGAGAGAGAGAGAGAGAGAGAGAAAGAGAGAGAGTGAGAGAGAGAATCGTCGTACATTCTACTTCGAGATTTTCTATCTGAGAAATGGATGGCGTTAGGACACGTGCAAGTAATGGATCACATTATGGCTATAATTCTATTTGATATTACATCGATATCCTAAGCTCGAAGTAAGACGAAGTGGGAAAGATCGTAGTGTATATTATTGAAAAATGGATTTTGATTTATAATTTATAAATAATATTGTTAAATTACCCAGTCTATATACTATAAAATGAAATAAACTTATTACTCGTAACATGAACAATACTTACTTCGAAAGAATAAAATGAAGTCTGACACACCTGTTAAACCAATCGAATTTCTATATAAAACAGAATTAAAGTTCCATTACACCTTAGAACTCAAAGCTCACTCTTTTTCTAACCGAACGACTCTCATAGGAGGTCTCCATACAAGGGATTCTTTTCGTCCGTTCGAAAATATACCTTTGGAGTGTTTGAACGAGCTCGAAACTTCGTTGGAATCCTTTGAAATTGAAAAGCCTTCTCGTGGCTTTCCCAAAAGATTACGTCGAGGAGTGAGAGAGAGAGAGTTGTGTTATAGATAGAAGAAAATCGATTTGTAAAACGAATCGAGCGATGGAAGACGACGAGACAAAGGTATAAGAAAAAAAAAAGGAAAGAAAAAAGAAATAGTAACAGATAAGTATAGAACGAAGAAAATAGTTGGAGAAAAGCGGCTTTACCTCGTTAGAGAGTGAGAGAGAAAGAGAGAGAGAGAGAGAGAGAGAGAACTGTTCCTCCGCGTTTTCTTCTTCCTTTTTTCTCTTCGAATTTTGTCGATTTCAGCAGGAAACACAAAAGAGGAAGAACCCGGGGAGGGGGGTATAATGAAAATGGTGCGAGAACGTTGTAACAATGAAAATGATGATGTTAAGAACACGACGTGTGGCACTTGATATGCAAAGAAAGATCCATTCACTTTTATCAAAGCACTGACCTTTAATTCACTAAACCCCCGGTTAAGCTTGCAAGAATACGAGCAGAGCTTCCGGTGAATCCTCCTTGAAATCGTTTCTTCTTACGAGCACATCCGTTCTTGTTGTTATTGTTGTTGTTGTTGTTGTTAGCTACTACCCACGTCGTAGTCACACGCATCCCCAACCTTCTGTAATTTGACTCCCTCAGAGATGATATTAACGTTGACAAATAACGCCACAGTTTTGATTTATTTTCTTATTTTGATCTTATCGCAATAAGTAATACACTGTTCACGCAAATGTTTCACGATCGATCGATCAATTGATTAACGCGACCGACACTGTTTTGATTATTTCAAATAGATAAAATCGATAGTATTAGTCCCGACACAATTGTAACACGAACTATTTTTCCCTTAAATGCTCGAACAATTATTTCGAATTATTCCCAAAATTGGAGAATAAAAGATAAGCGTATATGTATACACCGAAAAATCCACACAAATAAGTCCACTTACACTCTTCCCGTGAAGAAGTTGGGGGAAGGGGGGCAAGGAGAGAAAGAAAGAAAACGAATTCTTGTTAATTTCACGTAGCAACGCACTCGATAACACCAAACAATGAAACTGCTTTTTATTTGGGCAGAGGGGAGAGGGCAGGATGATATATAAGTATGGGACGGGGATTTAAAATAAATCGAACAAATTTTCAAGGGGATTTTTTCGTTGGTGGAACCAATCCGACGGTGGATCTGGATGAGACCAAGTCCCAGAATTTCATTGATAAAACGCTACGACAAGGAGTATAGCTGGAAGCAAAAGGAATAAGATGTATAGAGAATGTGAATAAAAATCTTAGGAAGAATATAGGGAATTTATCGACGAACAACCCACGTTCTCGTAACTTCTCGCGAATTTCGGCGCGAAGAAGAAACATCCGATCGTCCGATCCCGCGTCGTCCACGTCGATGATGATGATGATGATGATGATGATGATACTGATACTCCAACAACAACAACACTTTTCTTCCCATCGTCTTCGCGGGTTACATGATCGTATAAACGAAATATATATAATAATAATAATAATAATAATAAAAAAATAAAAAGGAAAAAAAAACAAAGTAAATAAATGACCGAGAGTAAATAAGTTCAAGAGTAACTAACTAACTATAATTTCTCTTCTTATTATCTTATCTGTTGCACTTAACACGCTTTTATCATCCAATACTATTTAGGAACACGTTGCGTTGTATTTCATATGGGTTAACTCTTTTCTTTCTTCCTCTTTGACCGTTCTTCTCTCTTATCGTAACACGCGCGTTTTATCCTCTTATCTGTTGTTCCTCTCTCTGCCCCCTCTCTCTCTCTCACCCTTTCTCTTTCTCGTGTTCGAGCTCGAGTTCGAGCTCTTTCTCTGTCTCTTTGCGAAAAGCGGAAGAAGAGAAAAGAGAGAAAGAAAGAAAGGAAGAAAGAAAGAAAGAAAGATGGAAGTAGTAGTAGTAGTAGTAATTATAGTAGTACTAGTAGTAGTGTGAATATTAAAAAAAAAAAATAGTGGGCAGAAGAGAAAAATAAAAAATCCCGGTGGGGTGGGGGGGGTGGAAAAAGGGATGAATTTAGACGAAAGAAAAAAAAGAGAAAACCGTTTCACGTTTCTCAGGTAGATATATATATACATATATATATATGTATATATCTATATATAACGGGGAAGAAAAAAAAGGGGGTAAAGAAATAGCCGTTTCCCGTAGTTAGTTGGACTGACGGATAAAGAGAGAGAGATTCGCGCGCGCGAAAGCACCGCAAGTGATGCTGCGATCGTACTGGAGCCTCCGGCAGGGCGCTGCCGTCGTGACGACTGAGAACCAAACCAAAATCATCCCTTGCCGCCGCCGCCGCCGCCGCCACCACCACCGCCGCTCACCCCTACGAGCCCACCCTTCCCGAGATGGTAGTGGTGGTGGTGGTAGTAGTGGCAAGGGTAGTAGAGAGGGTGGTCGAACGGCCAGTGATGTCGAGCGTCCTTGAGTTACCCTGCGCACAACTTATGGGTTGTCCCATAAGTTCTTTCCGTGCCACCCTATGTATAACTTCGAGTTGGTTATGTTTGTAGACATGCAAGTTTATCTATTGTTCATTTATGGCATCGATTTCAGTCGTCTCAAAGCTCTTTCAAAGTAAGGTTCATATATAACACAGTTAATCAAACTTTAACAACAATTGAAGTTGCATAGAAAGAAAGAAAGGAACTTATGGGACAAACTAATATTACCACCACCACCACCATTACCATCACTATATTTTATCTTTTATCGCATCGTCATCGGTATTCTTTTTTAATAAATGTGTTTTTGGTTTTGGTTTTGTTTATTTTTCCTACGATTCTACGAAGAATAATAATCACCTTATTCTTTCGGTAGATTTTTTCTCAAAGAGAAAACTGTTCGATACTTACTCCCCCTACGATGCTTGTTACCTCTTACAGAGAATATATAATAAAAACGAGATATACACACGACGAGGACTACGATGCTAGCTCGCGAAAAACGATGAATTTTCGATGCACCAACGGCGTTAACTTAAAATTCTCTTTACAGACGACACTTTACTACTACGTCACGTTCTATACGAAAGTTCGCGCTCAAAGCAAATATCCGAGGAGTCTAACGCTTAAATTCTAGACGCGGTAAATCTCACCTGTCCGTTTCGACATAGATAAGATTTTGATAGTATCAAATAGAACTACGAAATTGGAGAAGATTCAAGTTCCTTCTTTCCTTAGTTCCTTTTTCAGCGTGACCAGAATAGCATGAAAATTAAGTTTCATTACGTTACTTTTCTAGCATAAGCGCCGTCTACCGTTTACCGCTCAATCTTAACGTTCAAAGCTTCTTAACGTTTCGCGCTCTGACCGCGAAAGTGTAAGTAAGACAAAACTAAAGCGATTTTGCTAAGGGATGAAGTTCAACGTAAAATTAAAGTCTATATAAACTTATGAACTTTCTTAACGGTGTGAACTTTCATTCTGAGAAGGAGAGGAGAGGTCGGTTAATTCAGTAGTTAGCTCTTCCTAAATAGTTATAGCAACACTTTCAATAACTCTAATGCTCGTAAACTTTGCGGTACGCGGCCACTGCATAATGCATTAAAAATTTCCATATGACCTCGTAACGCTGTTAATGATTTAGCGATGGCACGAATAAGAAGAGAAAAAGAAAAGAAAAAGAAAAAGAGAAGAGAAAGGAAATAACAGCAAGGTAATCTCGTTGTGGAAAACATTCGTTAAAGAAATAGGAAAGCACTGAAATATTGTAAAAGGTGCTGATATATGAATAATTAAAGTAACATTTTTACCTAAGATTTTTCAATCTAAAGGTAAATTAATTAAGATAGTACAGTCCTGGATCAAGGGAGCCCCCTGTTAACGCCTCTCAAACCACTGGCTCGTGAGGGAGCATTCCATATGCATAGCTTGCGGCTACATCTCAGACTGACTACATCACCAAATCCGTCCCTTGCACCACCTTGCACCCTTTACCAAGTCCTAGTCAACCATTTCCCTTGGTAACTGCTGTAGATCGTATATCCATTCTGTTCTGCCTCTTCCCCCTCTTCTTCCACCTCCTCCTCCTCCACCTCCTCTTCCTCTTCCTCCTATTTCTCTCTTGCCTACAGTTATACATATAATTATATATCTATACTATACTGAAATGTGCTATCTACACATCTCAATAACAATAACAAGGAACTCACTAAGCATCAAGGAAGCCTTTGGGCCTTATTTGAGTTTCTCTCTGTTTCTCTCTCTCACTCTCTTTCACTTGCTTCCTCATCCTTCGACTAGAAGATTAGATTTTGATGCTATTAGGAAATTCCAGTGAATCGTGAGCTGCTCCGTTGGAACGCCACGGAAAACTTTGGACCGCTCTTTCATTAAAAGATTTGCTTAAACTCTCGCGCGACGGTAAAGGCTCGAATCAAGCGCATGAAAAGCGGTTGAAAGGAACATAGTGGCAATTTAAAGTCAACTTTGTCGGTTAGACGAATTAGACCTTTACGGTTAATATATCATTCGTTCGTTCGTTCGTTCCGATTAAAAAAAAAAAAAAAGGAAAATAAAAAAAGAAAGGAGATTATTATTATTATTATTTTCGCGAAATTAATCGATAATTTTAGTTTTACCATATCGTTAAATGTTTACGATGCCTATATACGGTGATTATAAGTTGAATTTTTATTATCGCGTATTATTTCATTTCACGCTATTCTCATACGCGAAAACATTAAAGTGTTTCTCTTCGTTAATTGGTATCTCTATAGTGATGCGATATACTGTTAGATTCGATTAACGGAATAAAAGAGACGCGTTATTTTTAGTTTTACGTTAGTTGGCGGTAGGAGGGCTTGGAGGGGTGGGGGGGGCTTTTAGTAGTCGAGAGATCGCAATTCCCGGGGCGCTTAACGCGTAAGAAAAATATCAATAAAATGAAATTCCCGTGAGGCATGTGCCCGTCGTATCGTAGAAAATTTTAATTGCCACTGTTAGACCTGTGTGAATAATAAGTACTTGAACGATCGAGAGCTTAATAGCGACCTGAGAGTGTTCCCTTTAAGCTCTCCTCATAATCGAGCTACATCGACGTGATTAATCCTCTCGCGAAATTTCTACCCTTGTATGATGGAATATTGTTCTCTCTCTCTCTCTCTCTCTCCTATCGCTCTCTCTCTATTGCTCTCCTTCTTTCTCTTTTTTTTTCTTTCTTTCGTTTTCCTTTCGTAAGTCGACATTCTAAGAGAAAATGTTCCTGTACTTTTACAATATTTATTTTTCAATCTTCCAACATCTCTCTTCTGTCCGTTCCCCTTTCTCGTTCTATCTTGGAACGTTCCCAGAGACAGAATAGAAACACGGAGCATAATAAACGTTAGAACAATTCGCAAGTTCGTCCATTGTTCCAACTTAGGAACGGGTAAAGCAATACGCGCCGTGTTTCAACCTCTAAGAAAGCTATCGCATCTTGTCCAAAATACTCGGGGAAACATTGCACACTTGCATACGTCTTGGCGGGAGATAAATACAAGCCGAGTATAATCGCATAACGAAAGTCGCATTGTTTGGACGTTCTAACTATAATTGGGTAAGTTAAATAACTTAATAAATTTATGTCCGGAAAGAGTAAGAAGGATGTTTAACACGTTTAACGCCCAGCGTGAATCGGTGGTGTTTCTCCTGGGACCCCACAAATTTGAGACTGATGAAGTACAAAAAGAATTATTAAAGTTCTGGAAAAGTGATATGATAGGATGAGTAAATGCTGAAATATACGTAGAAATTACCGACATCTCGTATTTCTCTCTTTTCATTATCGATTGCAACAACAACAACAACAAATTAGAATAAAATGAGATAAACCTTTATATATAACAACAATTTTCTATCAAATGCAATGATAAATCGCAACTCTATAAATAGACAAAATGTGACATTAAATACATATTAAATTAGTCGTTGGTATGCATTTCGTAGAATGTGAATAGGCATCTGCAGAAAATTTACAACCTTCTATGGAAATTCTTTCGAGAAAGAACCGAATTCCCGTCGTTTATTGAATGATCGACAAAAATTTTCTGTATCTAAAAAAAAAAAAGAAAAAAACCAAAAATTCAATATCTTTTCATTAAATGTATAGCAAATATGCGAATCGATATGATGGTATTGGTGCGACAATGTGATGCAATAAAAAAAAAAGAAAAAGAGAGAAAGAGAGAGAGAAAAATCAAATGTTTCGTGAATTCAATCAGCAAAAGAAATAAAATATGTATTTCAAATTTGTCCATGAGCCCAGAACGAGAAGTATAATTACTTGACTTGGTTGCTTGTTGTTAGCTACGATAGAAGATATATATATATCTATATATCTATATATCTATATATATAATATATAATTATAATCCTTAAAATAACGTGAGGTTAGCACGTTGTAAAATGCCTTCGCCTTTCAGAACTGTAACTGTACACCGGGTGTACGGAAAGGTCCCCGATCCAATCGGCGAGGCTATCAGAAGTAGTGATTAAAATGGGAGGTGAGTGCTTGGTCGGCAAAAGGGGTTGAAGGTGGTCTGAATGCTTGTAGGCGGGGAGTGAGGTCTCTCTCGTTTCGGGCTTGGGGAAACGTAGATAACACTTCTTACCCGAGGGACTTCCCGCGACCCCAATCTCAAGTCAGATATTGTTCCGAGCTTTGAAAGCTCAAAAGAACTTGTGAAAAGGCATTTCGTCTCGATTCGATGTATTATACCTGGCTCATACGTATTGTATTCCCGATCTCTCGCTCCGCGACTTTGGGTAAAAGGAAAAATATCGGGAAAACCGTCCTTACTTTTTGGTACTACTTTGGATTGACGTGCCTTCTAATCTAT